AATCTGTGCAATGGTGAATTTGCATGAATTTGTTGATGAAATAGATAACCTAAGCCTGAGTTCAAAAGGAAAAAAAAAACAGGGTTTTTGTATATCAGCATGCATCATTGCATAAACATTATATACATATATATCAACATGTTTTATAGAAACAAAACGGAAAAAAAAACTGTATTCATTAAATTTATCAAAAGTGACAGGTGACAGTAAAGACTTTTTCAAGTTATCAAAAAAATATAAATAAATAAATAAATAACATAAAATTCTATCAAAGAATTGTGAAAAGAAAACTCCATTTCCAAAAAAAATATTATGCATTATTTTATGTAACTATTTTCATCATTGATAATAAATGTTTCTTGAGCAGCAAATCAGCATATGATTTCTGAAAGATAATGGAGTAACGACTGCTAAAAATTCAACTTTGCCATCGTAGGAATAATTTATTTTTTAAATATATTAAATAGAAAAAAAAAAAAGTTATTTTAAACTGAAATTGTAATAATATTTTGCCGTATTGCTGTTTTCCTGTATTTTTGCTCAATTCAATCCAGCCTTGTTAAACAAAAAGAACTTACCAAAAAAAATAAATATCTTACCAACCCCAAACTTTTTAAATGGTAGTGTACATATTTTGTATTCATTTCACGTAACGTTTTCCAAATTTTTTTTTTTTTAAGGTAAAGCTGTCAGACCTAACAAACTAGGAGATAAACACTTCTTCTATGTGATCATCTCAAAACAGTTAACTATCGGCTGATATTTTGATTACTTTTACTATTTTATTATTTTTCTAATATTTTGAGATTATGACCTTAATTTTTAAAGTCCGACTGAAAGAAACCCACATTAAGAACCCTCTATACAAAGTGCTAAAAACTAAGGCTATTTGTTGTTAACCATCTCTGAGAAAAAAATAAATAAAATAACTGTACATATAGATATGTAGTTTGTTATTCTATCCGTTCTGGTATAATGCAATTCTTCAGCGAAGAACATCCCTGAACCTTTGCAGAGTTCAACAGCACATTTGTACAAAAAAACGCTTTCACAGAGTGAGGGAAAAGATAAGAGATAAAGAGAGCAGTGTGTCCTGTACGTAGGAAAGGGAGGATTTCTGTAACCAGATGCATTCCCATGGGAGAAAGATAGCAGGAGCTTGAGTGTGAGAAAACACAGCCAGTTGGAGAGAAAGAAAGAGCAAGACTGAAAATCTTTGTTTACCCTCCCTTATCCAGTCCTCCCCCTCTCCCCTCATTCTCTCTCCTCCCACTCCTCTGGCCAGCAGTGAGGCTCCTCATTGTTAGTAGGGAGGAAGCTTGCTTAGAACACTTTATGGTCTTTTAAATGCATAGGAATGGCTCAGTGAACAAAGGAAGGACCACCACTTTGAAATGAACTGCCCTGTCAAGGTGGGCGGCTTTTCACACACACATGGTCACAGAGACTTTAAAAGCGAAGCTAAATGACCAGTGCCAAAGGTTCAAAAAAGGAATGAGTGTGGAGGACTGCCTCAGTTTTTGTTTTTCAGTGAGGAGGAAGTTCAGTTGGTGCTCGTTCTATTTAGTCTACTGTCCTGGAGGTTGATTCACTCTTATCAGTATTTATGGGTTATTCTGTTCTCGCTGCGGTCAGACTGATTACCTGCCATGAAGGGAGAGGAGAAATGAATGTATAAAATATTCATTTCATTCTACCAGGCAGATATAAATCTTTCTATTGTTAGGTGCTTTTTCTCAAAGAATAAAGTGCTAAATATAAATGCCCCCCCATTTCTTTCAACGGATATTCTCATTAAATAAGAATGAAAATATTGCCTAAATGTTCTTATTTTCCACTGTTATACTCACAGAATATAAATGCATCCAGACTGATTTTTGCTTTGCCCTGAAACTCCCATCGCAGTCTGAATCACAAGGATTTCAGCACACTGCAAAACACGGTGATTGACGATACAGAAACCGTTTATGGAAAACAACAGCTATGACTCATCTGAATTACCTCACTTACTTACGCATGTTTTACTCTAAAGTTAAGCAATATGAGTCAAGCCAAAAGATTTCCTACTAGAAATCAAGTGACTCAGCAACAGCGTGGGTTTTACACTGATCTCTGACCTTACTCGGTTTTGTTTTACTAGACACTGTGTTTTATCTACAGTATATGCATTTCAAACAAGTATGTTTATTTCACCATCTTTATTTCATCAATGATTAACCAATCACAGTAGATACATCTAACAGTTAAATCATATAAATGTTTTAGTCAGACTTAAACTTTATTAGTCATTAATTTTTTTAATCTACATAATGGGATTGTAGCACTGCTTTATCCAGCATGTACATTCGTTAAGGTGTGGTCACATTTGCAAAATTTCAAGATACGTTTATGATATCTGCCAGTCAGCTATGCAAATCTGTTTGACCAACTTAAACCAATGCTGAATCTACATGGGGAAATCTTACGCCGT